GTCTCTGATTCAAAGATGTGACACTGAATTTTGGGGGGCGTCATGGTGTCCTATCAGGTAAGTCGGTTTGAACCACAAAAAATGGTAAGTTTCAAACTCACCATTCACCCTATTCTGGGTCCAATTATGAGTTAGACCTGACTGGATGGCACATAACAATGACAAAAACAAGTTGTCTCTGCAGCAGTTGTTAACTAATTGTGGACTCCTGGTGTGGTGCTGTAGGATAAGTGCTCGACCACAAGATTGGTGGTTCAAATTCACCAGCTGCCCCTTGGAAACCCTATAAAGGGGAGCTATGAGTTGGAACTGACTCAACAGTACCTATCAACAACAAGAAGCAGTGTGCAGGTTTCACATTGGCCACTTATACATGAGCATTGTACCTACCACTCTCTCTAGAGTATTTATAACACAAAGCATTAATCTTTGTCAATAAAATGATACTCAGTTTCTATAAACCATGGCTGTGAAGCCAGGATGAGCCCAGGAGCTGTCTAAGCTGTTTCACCCTGTTATTCTTAGCTTTGACTCAAACACAAACCCATCAACCAAACTCAAGAGTATAATGAAGCATAGAACCAACAGCAATAAAATCTGTGAAAGCCACAACCCATATAAGGCAGAATCCAGCAATAGAAGGAAAGCTCAACTATTTCCCACGAAATAGCAATATTAAAGAGGTGACTGCACCATGTCAAAGGCAGAAAGCTTCTGAGAGCCAGAAAAACAAGGCAGTCCCATTGATTTCTAGTCTATTAAATCAGAAAAGCAGTACATATCCTTCTCTGTGTTCTTATTCCACATCATCATGGTAAGTGGTAACTGATCTTTTGTTTTCATAGCAAGGCAAAAAGTTTGTTTTTGAAAGTTAAACTGTTAATGGAATACATTTTTCTATTAGTCAAGATACCACTTGCTTTTCAAATTTAAAATATAGGTGTTAAAAAAAACAAAACAACGTAGTAAAGAGTTTCACTTCCTTCTCCTTTTAGACAACACATTGGAAAACAAAACCAGTCAGCCGTACAACTATAGCTCCAGAAGCAGTGAGGTTTCTCAGTGTTCGAAACTTCCCGAACAGTTTTAAATACTTATTTGAACTGCCTACACATTTAAAAACCAGAGCTAATTAGCTTATGTGTTACCATCTGTCCTGACTCGTAGCACCACACACACTGTGAAATGCAGTCCATTCTGTGACAGGCTCACTGGGAGCTGCATCCACCTTCTACATCATCCTCCCAGATGTACTCTCTGAAACTATGTACGCTGTTAACTTGGCAGTCCTTTGTCTGAAAACATGAACCCTAAACATTGAACTGAAGATTAAAGTTTTAAATGTTAGCACAAAAGACAGTGAGTTATAGAAGCGGTATCATTTCTCCCAAATATTCTAATAATGAAATTTGAAAATGTGTATATAGACTATTAGAACGCTTAAGTTGAAGACTGCAGTCTATGAGCCGGCTATTTTTCAGATTATGTAAAGTTGGGTGTGGACCTAGCCTCTAAAATCACTCGAGTAGGCACATCAGTAAGTCATGCAGCTAAGAAACCAGTGGAACTAGCCAGAGTGTTAATGGAATCTTCAGGCTTTTGAAGGACAGAGATAAGTAAAGGGAACTGAAAGAAGTGAGGATAAAAATAATATAAAACAAGTAAGAAAAAGGTTGCTATGGCAGGGTGTGAGTCAGTCCTCAGAGTGGCCTAGCCCTAATCTAGTACTTCATTTAGTATTGACTTAACATCAAAAGCCATCTGCATACAGAACATTTTAGAAGTAACACTGGTATAAATTTAAATATTCTTAAATATCATTAAGAGACATTAGAATTACCAAAAGTAAACATATTTTCACTTTGCAACTAAATGTATATTTACTTTAAAAGTGTGAGAAGTTGAAGTTAATAGAGTTAAAGGTTTCTCCAGACTGGGGCAGAGCCCATGGGATCATCTGCAAACATGTTATAAACACACAATAGCAGGATCATGAAATGCAAATGAAGTTGTTTCTATATGAGTAGAATTTGATGCACTATGCAATTTCCAATGGAACTGACAAGTCTTGAAATAGGACCATAGAGATGCACTGCAAATGAGTTCAAAGATTTGTAAATTTTGAATAAAGTATCAACAATCTAGGTGGCATAGTATTACTGAAATGGATGGACCACCAATAGTATATACACTGCAATAAAATCTAACCAAAACGTTTCTTGAAAATCCTTGGACATCTGTTCATGATGTCCCAGTAGATGACCCAGAGTTTCTGTGAAGAATTACCCTCTTCGTGTGGGGGTTGTTGGCCTCAAATGCCAGAACATTTTGAATTTGAGAATTTGCCGAGTCCTCAGAATGATGACATAGGAAGCAGAGTACTCTGGCTCTGGAGTCTCTTTCTCTCAGAAAACTAACTGAATCGCAAAACAAAAATGTTGTCAGCCATGAGGTCACTTGATTGCAGCAGTTAACATTCTGTGCAAAAATTTTAAATTATTGTTTTGACTTAAAGACTAAAGTAATATTTCTTGATCCAAAACAAACACAAAATCTTTACAAAGGTGAATATTTCTCATTTGCTTGATTTGTATTTTAGGCTTTCAGAGTTTCTCTTATTGAACACACAACATATTCCTGAATAGGCATTTTATGGAATTTAGCATCTTAACTCTACCCTTTAAAAAAAAAAAAACACTCTAAATGTTTCCAGCAGAAGGCTCTGTAGGAGCCCACGGCTGTGGGTTCCTTTCAGTGTCATAAGGCGCCCTTGTGGTGCAGTGGGTAAGCACTGGGCTAGTAAACACAAGGCTGACAGCTGGAACCCACCAGGTGCTCTGCAGGGGGAAACTGTGGCAAGCTGCTTCTGTGCAGATGACAGCCTTGGCAGCCCTTTGCCTTACAGACTTACCCTGAGTCGGAACTGATTCGTTATACAGCCAATTAGATCCATTCCATTAGACTAAACTGCGTAGGTGTGATATTACGTACAAATACATTTTGCTAAGAAGTAATTTTTATTATAAAACTTAAGTCACTTTTCTGTTTTAATATGGAAACTAACCAAGCAAGATTAAATCTTTGGAATTCAGATTATTCTTTTTTTCTCTCTCTAAAATCATCCAATTTTTTAAAGGAAAACAGAGGTCTTTATAGATTACATTTTCCATTTTAGAATTAATTATTCTGTAAAGAGTGCTGAAATGAAAGAAAAAGTAAGATTTTTAAAATTATGGCAGGCTTGATGGTTGGTCTTAGATGTGCATTTTGCTAAGCTGTTCAAATGCACTGGTCATAGCACGGAAGTAATTTTTATATAATTGGACATAAATAAAGAATTTGGTACTGTATTACATTATCATTTCTAAATTATTTTATAAAAGCTTAAAATAAGAGCATGAAAGGGCAGTATGGTCCAAATGTCTATTACTTTTCTTGCAACAGGGGGCCTTCCATTATAGGCAAATAACTTAAGTGCCCTGAATATGGATTATAGGAATATTGGAAGTAGCAAGTTGTAACTGTCTAGATGTCATAGTTAGATGCTAATCATCTTCACAATCAAAATAACTGAAAATCCTGCTAAAAATAAACCCCACATTTAGCATGTCCACTTTGAGCTTTTATAGCGGCAGATGAAAGAATAGAAATGGAAAGTAAAGTGTTCAACGAACTGCCTCACTTCTCTCCAGCTTCCCGAACTCAACAAGTACAAATTCATATGCTTGCCAGCTAGGTATCCCCATCCTCAGCCAGAAACAAGAAGAGGGAAGGCCCATGCCTCTGGACAAGAGGAGAGGAAATAAAACAGGTGAGACGACATGCGTATGAAGCTGCTCTTCTTACAGAGAATTTAAAAACATACCCTGGAGGTACTTTAGAAAAACAGCATTCTTTCCAGATGAACAAACAATGTTCAAGAAAGCTAAAGTCGTTTGGATTTAAATACACCTTGCACATTTTTAACATACAATGATCTAAATAAACAAAAGATACTAAAGTAAATTTCACCAAAAAGGAATGTTTTTCTGTCTTTGTAAATACAAATGGGTCATGGCATGGTTTTGGTTTAATTTTGCGATCTTGAAACTCTAAAAGGAGCCCCGGGTAGCACAGTGGTTAAAAACTGCAGCTAACCAAAAGGACCTGGGGCTGGGACCCACCAGCTGCTTGCTCTGCAGGAGAAAGGTGCCAGCAGTCTGTTTGCAAAAAGATTTGGAAACCCTATGGGGCAGTTCTACTCTCTCTTAAAGGATCCGTGTGAGTCGGAATCAACTTGATAGCACTAGGTTGTTGTTGTAAAGTGCCGTTGAGTCGGTTCCGACCCATAGCGACCCTGTATAGGGTTTCCAAGGAGCGACTGGTGAGCTTGAACCGCCGATCTTGCAGTTCAAAGGGCTTTGCAGTCTGGCGCATTAACCCACAGCGTCACCTAACAAATACCACAGTCAGAATAATTTTAAGTTAAAATTGTCAGAATATATTCTACTCATACTAGTTTTATTTTTATAATTTAAACAAATTCAGAAGTTTGGGGTGCTTCTGACTACTTGAGTAAAACACCACACTGAAAGAAAACCAATGTCAGTGGAGGAATGCCTGATTTCTTAGCTGCTCTGCCTTTATGAACAAGAACCTTTCATCTGAATATGAAGGGGGGCGCTTCAGAAAGTCTGTGTAAAAATTGTATCTCATAATTCCATTTTTTCATGAACTTTGTGAGGCTCCCTCGTTCATCATCAACCTCTGCTACAAGAAGTCAGGATATCTTCATAATTTCACAGTTTATTTAACAGTAGACATGCAGCTTTTAAAACAGACTTGAGGTTTAGGTATATCTGGTATTATCTAGAATTCCATGTGGCACGGTAGGGTGCCCTGGGCTGCTAGCCACAAGGTTGGCGGTTCAAATCCACTAGCCACTCCTTGTACACCTTCCTTATGGCAGTTCTCTGTGTCAGAACGGACTCAACAGTACACAACAACAACACATTTAGAATCCAGGGCCACATTTTGCAAAAAGTTTCCAAATAGTAGAAGTTAAAACAAAGGTACCTATCAGATGAAATACCAAGTGAAACTGCATTTCTAGTCCTGACCAAACTACACCCCTTTTTCAGTATAGCTTGAGGTATTTTAAAATATTGGTACAAGCTAAGTAACATTCACAGTTTCCAAAGTTGCTTCAAATTCTTACAATTCAATATAATTTGCCTTTCAGACATGTTTTCACATACCAGAGTCACTGCCTTCAGACTTGTGGATAAATGAGTTATTTAGTAGCCAGAACTGGTTCTGGAGTAAAATGGTTCTATTTCCCAATTATTGTACTATCCCTAGAATGTGATTTAAAAAAAATATTGAATTTGCAATTCATATAAAAGGAAAACTTGCTTTAGCTCCTGAAAGCAAGTCCAGTCTGATGCAGATATATAAGAAGATATTAAATAACAGAGTCAGATTCTTTGTTGAGGAGTCCAGATGAGCTTGATAGCACAGAGTTCTGGTTCTCCAACATTTTCTCTGTCTTCTCTCCTTCAGTGGTTTTACTGATCTCCCTTTGTTTCTTACTGTGGATCCAGGGGATTAAACAAAGCACAGCACCGCCAATCAGAGGAGGGATTCCAGCAAGGTAGAATGCTGCATCATAGGAGCCCAGCTTGTCACGAAGTAACCCTGAGGAGAGAAAAAAGCTGTCACCAAGCAAGGAGCTCTGGTAGCGTAGTGGTTACGAATCGGACTGCGAACCTTAAGGTCAGCGGTTTGAAACTATCAGCCGCTCCGCGGGAGAAAGATGAGGCTTTCTACTCCCGTATGGGTCAGAACCGACTTGACGGCACTTAACAACAACAACAACAAGCAAGAACAGTGTGGCTCTTTGGGGTTTCTGATTAGTCTGACCTAGTCACAATCCAACAGTGTCACCTCAGCTGCACCGGTTCCAACAACATCGCAGCTTTGGTGGATGGACTATCAAGATGAAGCGTCTTTCTCTCCCCTCAAAATGTCTGGATTTCAAACTCTTGTTGGGTTTATTTATTTTTTATGAAATAACATTTGTTGTTTTTTTTTTGGAAATGGGTCTGAAATAGAAATTTTTTCTGACTACTGTCATAGACTCCAGGTCTCTGGGTTTTCATACCAACGTATTATTTGGAAGAAGTATTTGCAAAGAAAAGGTTTGGTTTTCCCAAAATCCCTCAGAGGTCACTTGGGGTGTTCTGATCCATGGTGTTAACAGTCAGTGGATGGTGGACGGACCAAAAGATGAAACTTTTATCATTCAAAATGTCTATATTTCAAAGTGATTTTGGGCCTGTTTGTTGTTTGTATGAAAGAACAATTTAAATTATAATCCAAAATCATGTGCAAAGAGATGAAATGTTGCATTGTTAAATACATTTTGGAAAGACACTAAGGTTTGTTAGCAAAGGAGGAAACGTAAGAATTTAAGTGTGGCACTCTAACAGATCCTTGGACTCTGCTTCTAAAAACTATTATTTAGAGTGTTCCTTATTCTGATTTCTCTAAAGTACTAAGGGTTTTTTTAAGTTATCTTAGTGTTTTAAAACTTTTATAGACAATCTCAGTTATCTCAAATGTCCAGGGAACATACTGTACTAAATATCTGACTTTGTTATAAATAAATGTTGTTAAATGCCAATGAGTCAGTTCCCACTCATATTGACCCTGTACAGGGTTTCCAAGGAGTGGCTGTTGAATCTGAACCACTGACCTTGTGGTTCAAACAGACCTTGCAGTCCAGTGCTTTATCCCACAGTGCCACATCAGGACTGATTGATGATTTTTCTGGTTAAGTACCAACACATTAAAATATATACAGAAGCATTCTGGAGAGCAATCTAAAACATACAATCTCTTTATATATCTAAAATACACAGTTTTTCTATGTTTTAAAGTGAGAATATTCTATATATAACTGAGCCTCTCACCCTGTGGACACTAGCTATGTTTTATTGCAATACCACAATGCCCTCAGAACTCTGGTGAACCCGAGGCATTTTGGCTGCCAGTTGCTATGTGGTGGTATTCTGCCTGCTTCGGATGTTTTCTGTTATATTCCTCACCCCTTATTCTGGGCCTGTTATCTTGGTCACTTCTGGTAGCAAACATCATTCCTGCTAAAGTGCTGCTTTAGTAATAATTTGTGGAGCTGGAAACCTTATAATTAGGCACGTGGAGTATGATCATGAGAATGAAAGGTGTATTCCTCGGGGAGACAGGAGAAGTGGAAGGGTCTCCTATAGAGGGGACCTCCACAATGTAAACTCTGTGGAAGCTGTCTGGTGTGCTTGCTAGTGACTGCTTGCTTCATTTATGACTAGTTCCCCACCTGGTGAAGTTGACTTGACAGCTTTATAGGTTCTGAATATGGGAAAGCACCAAGTTGTTTTTTTACTGGATTCTTCATGCTCCCAAAACAGATGGTAGTTCATATATTTAAGTTTTATTCAACCTTAAAAAACTGTATTTTAGATATATAGAGAGATTGTATGTTTTAGATTGTTCTCCAGAATGTGTATGTATATTGTATTCAACCGGAAAAATCACCAATCAGTCCTGGTGTGGCACTGTGGGATAAAGCACTGGACCGCTAGGTCAGTGGTTCAATGCTAATTCACTCGTTGTTAAGTGCCGTGGAGTCAGTTCCAACACACAGCAACCCTATAAAGGGTTTCCAAGGAGCAGCTGGTGAGTTTGAACTGAGGCCTGCGGTTCAGTGCATTATCCTACAACGCTGTACCAGAACTCACCACACCACACTCCGGTGGCATCCAAGTGATGCTGAGCTTGAGATATCCTTACACTATTATTCAGATGATTCCTAAAGCTACAAGATATATATCTATATTTTCTAAGTTGCTGTCAAGTCCATTACACCTCAGGACTACCTCATGTGTATCAGAGTAGAGCTGTGCTCATAGGGTTTTCACTGGTTAACCAAGTAAATACTGAACTTGAGGTAGCTTTACAATACCATCCAGATGATTTCCAAAGTTACAAGATACATTTTGAAAAATAAAAATGTTGCTATGGAGGCAATTCTAACTCAATGCAACAAAATGTTATTTTTTCATCAACTACTCTGGTAGCATAGTGGTTACGAATCGGGCTGCGAACCGCAAGGTCAGCAGCTTGAAACTACCAGCTGCTCCGCGGGAGAAAGATGAGGCATTCTGCTCCCGTAAAGATTTACAGCCTCGGAAACCCTGTACAGGGTCACTATGGGTTGGAACCAACTCCACGGCACTTAACAACAACAACAACAACAACTCTTAAGGGAGTTCTGGTAGCATAGTGGTTACAGGTCGGGCTGCTAACCTCAAGGTCAACAGCTCAAAACTGTCAATCTGTTTGTAGGAGAAAGATGGGGCTTTCTGCTCCTGTAAAGATTTACAGCCTGGGAAACCCTACACAGGGTCACATTGAGCTGGAATCGACTGCATGGCACACAGCCACTACCACTCCTAAGAGAGAGAGATTCTCTCTTACATAAAGCATGCATAGTCTCTCAGAATCTTCAAGACAGAAACCATTTTCCTACTTCCCAAAGCACATAGTAAGTGAAATATTGTTGTTGTTAAGTGCTGTCGAGTTGGTTCCGACCCATAGAGACCCTATATAGGGTTTCCAAGGAGTGACTGGTGAGCTTGAACCACCGAGCTTACAGTTGAAACTGACTTTGCAGTCCAGCGCACTAACCCACAGTGCCACTCCAGGACTCCTACGTGAAATACAGGAACTGTGAAAAGTTCAAAGCCAAGAAGATTACTGTTATGTTACTAAAGTATTCTTAGATGCCATCAAGCATAAGAACTCCCCAGCGATCTTTTTCTAAGGCTAGTTGTCATGAATTGAATTGTCTCCCCCCAAATATGTGTCAGTTTGACTGCACCATGATTCTCAGTGGTTTAGCATTTATGGGATGATCCCCCATGATGGGATCTGAGGTGATAAACCAGTAAGAGGATGAAAGGTAGGTTTGACCTGCTGACCTTGTAGTTAGCAGTCCAGTGCTTATCCTATAGCACCACACCAGGACTCCAAAGGTGAGATGTTTTTGTTGTTGAGTGCCATCGAGTCAGTTCCAACTCACAGAGACCCTCTATAGGGTTTCCATGGAGCAGCTAGTGAGTCTGAACCCTTGACATTGCTGTTCAAATGCCTTGAAGTCTAGTGCTTATCACCTTTAACCTCCCACCCTGATCCAAAGGTATGGCCTGCAACACCTTTTATCTGACAAGAGATAAAAGGAGAGAGAGGTGAGCAGAGAAAGAGGAACCAGCTATCACCAAAAAAGAAGAGCCAGGGTGTGATGCATCTTTCGGGCCTGGGGTGCCTTTGCTGTGATGCTCCCAGATCCAGAGAAAGAGCTATGACAAGGTACATGATGTCCAGGGAATGCTGGGTCTACTGATGCTGAGAGCAGACAATGACCTTTCCCCAGATTCAATGCTCTGAATTCAGACTTCCAGCCCCCTTGACCTGTAAGGGACTAAAGTTTTGTTTGTTAAGACCACCCACTTGTGGAATGTCTCTAGTAGCAGCACTAGATAACTAAGACCCTGCTCTTCTAAAGACGTAATAAATAACACAGAACAAGCAGAAAACCAGTCACCAATGAATTACAGTTTTACATGTAAGTCATTACACTTACAGTTTTACATGTAAGTCATTACACTTACCTGCAATGGGCGGGCCCACGGTCATGGGTATCGACATGAATCCAAGCAGAAATCCAATTCCTTGGGAGACATCCTGGGCACCAACTAACTCAAAAGCAATGGGAGCCATGATGGAGATGAAGCATCCATCGAAGAGACCCATGATGAGACAGACAGCAATGAGAGCTCCGAAGACAGTACACAGGGGGATCATCATGGACATCAGACCGATGAAGACAAAGGAGAGGACCTAAGACAGACACCACAGCATCAACTCTGTGATCAAGAACGGCGAATGTTACAGTTACCGGGTACCAAGCACAGGGCTTCTGATTACTGCGTAGTTTTGTGGGTTTCCCCCTAGTTCGTCTTGATTTCATTCACACATTCACATTCTAGTTTCCTCTCCCTGAGTTCCCCTAGCATTTTAGAAAATATTTCCAGGAAGACATAAGCAAGAAAATAACTTTTTCTTTTGTCTTTAATGAACAATAATTTTATCACGGTTTGTTGTTTTTGTTAAGTGCCATCCAGTCGGTTCTAACTCATAAAGACTGTAAAGGATTTTTGAGGAGCAGTTGGCAGCAGTCTAATGCTTATCCTACAGCGCCAAACCGGGACTCCACAGTGTAGGAGACTAGAAGTCCAAATTCAGGGTATGGCTCTGTCTGTTTTGCGAGGAAACCTCTCTCAACTTCTCTACCCTTAGCGTTCCTGTTTCTTGATCTCCACCTGGCACCTGTCTTTTCTGGGTTTGTGTTCTTTTCCTATCTCAAAGGTAATTAGGGTTAGGACACACCCACACTGATAGGGTCTCTATTCCCTATTCCCAAATGGTGCCATATGGACAGGTATAGGTATGAGGATTCAAACACATATTTGCTGTTGCTGTTAAGTGCTGTCAAGTTGATTCCGACCCATAGCGGCCCTGTATAGGGTTTCCAAGGAGCAGCTGGTGATCTTGAACCAGCGACCTTTCAAATAACTTTACAGTCTGATGCATTAGCCCACAGCACCACACCAGGATTCCAAACACATATTTGGAGGGGCACAATTCCATCTGTAACACCCCTATCATCTATTACTAATGAACACTTCCAAATCTACCTCCCACAGCTCTGCCATGTAGACCTTAAACAGAACACTTGTCATTCTCAAGTATGATTTACCCTTTCCTACATCCACAAAGGAGCAATGCAACAGACTGCAAAGCCGTTTGAACTGCAAGGTCAGTGGTTCAAGCTCACCAGTCACTCCTTGGAAACCCTATACAGGGTCACTATGGGTCCAAACTGACTCAATGGCACTTAACAACAACAACAATATACAAATGTATTCACACGATTCCAAGGTTTTTTATGTTGTTTGGGACACTGACCCTCTATGATCTTCCCGTGTACCATTGAGTCAATTCCAACTCATTGCAACCCTATATCTGGAGAGTTTTAAAAACCTGTGGCAAAATCCCATTATCTTGTAGAGGCCCCTCATATGACAGAGTAGAACTGCCCCATTTGTTTTCCTAGGCTGTGACTTTGTAGTGTGAATTTGGTGGCAGTTTACAGAGCAACTCAGTTTTCCATTCAACACTTCATCCACATTTTGTTTCATCTCACTGAGTGCAGTCCTCACAGTGTAACAGCTCTCATTCCGCTTCCTCCCCGTGTTCCTGTTCCCATTCCTCCTCCTTTCCTACCCCTGCTGAGCTTTGTCCTTGGGTAAATGCTGCCCTTTTCATCACAAATAGTTGGCTAGTCTACTACATTGTGCAGTACTTCACTAGTGTTACTGTTCCCCTCATAGGCCTGTCCACTGTTTGGCTGAAAATTGAGCCCAGGGGGTGAGTCAGTTCTAGACCTGAAGGTGACTAAGGACCATGGTCTCAGGTGTTCCACCAGTGTCTTGTTATGTGCCGTCGAGTTGGCTCTGACTCATAGTGACCCTGTACATGGTTCCCAACGGGTGGTTGGTGAGTTTGAACCACCTACTTTACTGTACAAACTGACCTTGTGGTCTAGCACATTATCCTGCAGAACCACACCTGGTCGTTTTTATGATTTTGAATTTTGTTTCACAGTTTTCTCCCACTTGAATGGGATCCCTGTCAGAATAGTCATTAATGGTAGCCAGACAACATTTAGTTCTAGTCTCAGGGCCGTGAAGCCCCATGGACTAATTGTATCCATACATCTTCAAGTTTCATCACTCTTCTCCAGACAGGGTGACACCAATAGCTGCGCCATAGATGGCTGTTCACAAGCTTTTAAGACCCTAGTCACTACTGACCAAAGTAGAATGTGGAACAGTGTCTGAGGACTGTTATATAGACCAATACCTTTGGCATTCCCTGAGACCATGGGCCTGAGTCCCCAGGCCCAGTGACTCATTCTAGGAAGTTTTCATAATTTTACCGCCTGTATATTCCTCCACATTCACAGACAGATTCATTTGAAGCATAGATAAATACACAGAAATAGCCTATCAAACATATCTATCTGTGGGTACACGCCCGCTCTCCCTCCCACATCCGTACAGCCTAAACGTCTGTCTACGTATCCGCTCAGATCACCGTGGCTGCAGGACTGCACATGTAACTATTTCAGTCTGTTGCCTTTAACTCTTTCACTCTTCCCCATGTCTTCCCTTGCCTCCATCATTTTTTGCTAACTTTCGCCTTGTAGACAGTGTTCCATTTCATCCACGTTAATATAATGTCTACCCTCTAGTTATTGATTTACCCTCCCTTCCTCTCACACCCCTGGTAACCATCGAAGAATGTTTCATTTAGAGTAAAAACCTTTTCTTGACTTTTTATAATAGTGGTTTCATACAACATTTGCCTTAGTGTGATTGACTGATTTCTCTCAGCATAATATCCTCCCCAGTTTTATCCATGTTATGAGGCATTTTGCAGATTCATTGGTATTTAACATAATGGCACAGTATTCCATTGTATGTATGTACCATAGTTTGCTTATCCATTCGTCCATTAATGGGCAGTTAGGTTGTTTCCATCTTTTGCTATTGTGACTAGTGCTATGTTGAACCTGAGAGTGCATATATCTGTTTATGTTATGGCTCTTATGTCTCTATGATATATAGCAAGTAAAGGGATTACTGAATTGTATGGCATTTCTGTTTACAGCTTTGTAAGGAAGCACCATACTCTCTTCCACACTGGCTGCACCACTTTACAGTACCACCAGCACTACATGAAGATTCCAGTCATTTGGTGTTTTTTGAACTTTGCTATTAATGCTAGGGTATGATAATAGCTCATTATTGTTTTGATCTCTCTAGTGGCTAATGACTATGAGCATTTTTTCATATGGTTGTTGGTTCCCTTAATGTCTTCTTTGGTGAAGTGTCTAATCATGTCCTCTGCCCATTTTTTAATTGGATTTTTTGTCTTGCTGAGGTGTTGAAGCTTACAATAAATTTTAGAGATTAGTTCCTTGTCAGATATGTCACTACCAAAACATTTTTCCTATTCTGTGGGTTCTCTTATTACTCTTTTGGTGAAACCTTTTAATGCACAGAAGTGTCTAATTTTTAGGAGGTCCCAGTCATCTAGTTCATCATCTGCTATGTTTGATAGTGTGCTTATGCCATGTATTAGGGACCCTTACTTTGTCCCTGGTTTTCCATAGATGATCTTTACAGTTGTAGGTTTTACTTTTTAAAATTCATCTTAAGTTTTTTTCTTGTTGTTGTTGTTTTTGTTTTTTGTGTATGGTGTGAGACAAGGATCCTGCTTCATTTACCTGCAAACGGATATCCAGTTTTCCAGCACACCACCATTTGTTAAAGAAATTCTCTCTTCCCCATTTAATGTGTTCCTACCCTTTGTCAAAGATCAGCTGTCTGGAGGTGGATGGATTTACTTCAGGGCTTTTGATTCTGTTCCACTGGTCTGTGTCATTGTACCAGTACCAAGCTGCTTTGGCTACCGTGGATGTGTAGTAGGTGAATGTAAAAGTGATAATCTGCCCTGGAAAATTTCACTCAATTCACAATAAAAACTTTAAAACAAAAACAGCAACAACAACAAAAAAGAATGCTATTGGAGGACACTAGATCAGGATTGCATTGTATCTGTAGATTGCTTTGGATAGTATTGACATGTTCACAATGTTCAAGCTTCTATCCATGAGCATTGTATAGTCTTCCATGTGTGTAGGTCTCTTCTGATTTCTTTTAGTAGTGTTTTGTAGATCTGCTTAGATTTATTCCTAAGTATTTCATCTTTGGGTGGCTATTGTAAATCATTTGCTTTCTAATTTCCTTTCCAGAGCTTTCTTTATTAGTGTAAAGGAATCTCGCTGATTTTTGTATGTTGATCTTGTACCCTGCCACTCCTAATAGGCTAAACTTCTAAGACACACCTATTCCTTATATGCAAGAATACCTTAGCCACATGAGCACATGCCAAGGTTTACTAACTGTCCATAGAACTTCTTCATTGCATTCCCAAATAAATATAGATCCATATATTACACATCCAACTGTAGGTACTGGGGCTCAGTTTGAAAGCTGAATAAATTTAGTAATATATACAATCACTTTTTTCTTAAAACACCACAGCTCTGGTTAGATTTAATTAAGGGAGTCAAAGGCCCCTACTGTCTAGGAGCTGGCATTGGCATTTAATAAGGCAGTAAAGGTTTAGAAGTTTAAGTCGTTTGTTCTTTTAAAATCACCCAAGGCACTATCTTCAGTCAAAATATCACAGGCTCTAGAAGAATGATTCCCCTTGAGTTACTGTACATACCTAGGAACAACAACATATGTTTTTGCTTTTGACTTTCCTATTTCTAACACACACCCACAATTTTCTAAGAGACATGTCAGTTTAAGTTTTACTCAGAAACCTAAGTGTAGCTCAAGAGGAAAAATTAGCTGTATCTGGCAGAAAATAAGCAGAAGGCATTTTTGGAGACAGGCACATAATTGACCACAGTTAGATTCCTGTGTTGCTTCTCCGAGTTTATTCAATATAAAGTTTCCAGACTTTCAGAGCCTCTGGCTATGCACCAAGGACAGAAAGCTGTTGGAAGCAGAGCTCTGTCCCAAAGTAAAGGAAAATGTCCAGGCCTCGGAGCCAGGTGGCTGGCTTCTCTAAAGCATACAGAGACCACAATACTTTCCAAGTGCTTCACAGTGCGTTTGTTCAGCTTTTCTCTCTTGCACTCATGTGATATATATAGCCCATGAGCCCTGCCATTTACCTGGGGGGGAACTGGCATAGAC